TCACTTTGTCCATCAAACATGAAATAGGTCTCGGCGCTGTCCACCCAATACGACCGCCTGAGGGCGCGAATAGTAACGTGACGCGTATTCTTCATGACGAAGAAGCGAAAGTGACGGTCAAGTTTTAGACCGCTGTGGTAAAACATCACAAAGTGTTGCAATGTCCCAAAAGGGGGATATACAGTAACAAAAATGTTGACCAAAAAAACTAATAATGGAGACAGTCGAGTGACAGGTCAAGAAATATCACATGCAATTCAAGGCAGCACTGGCCAACGAAAGGGTGTAGTCTTTCTTCATTTGACGACAAACTGTGATAGCTTGAGTGCATTCTGTCGCCAGAGTTTGAATTTCGTTAAAACCTAAGGCAAGATCGACTTACTGGGGTAGCGGAGTCGGGTTTCAGAGCCACTCTGATGCCATGGTCCTCTCGTTAAGACCTTCATTTATTGTAAAGCCTTTGGAAAAAAAATGTGTTTCCTTGTTCGAATCATCGAGGATTAAACCTTTCCATCGCCAGCGCAGCGAGGTACTTCAGTGAGCACCGTTTGCGCTGCCAAAGCTCTATCTGTGTTACAAAGCACATCAGCCTCGAAAGCCCGCCAATAGCTTCGTTGTATTCGCTACTGCGCATTGCCTATTGCTTCCCAGACGGCCTGGCTCCATTTGCTTCAATGTTACACGGACCTAAGTAAGTGTGCACCCCCCTTACATTTTCTCCTGAAAGCTTGCTCCGGATAATTCTGAGATTTCCTGGCAAAATTCTATCCATTTGGATTGGGTGATGTTTGTCGATCGTGGGGTAGCCGCAGAGAGCTGGCTGTCTTATAATTCTATTAATGAGCGAAACGCAAGATCTGTGTGTAAATTGACGATGTTGCCTTATACTCAGTAGTCCAGGTCAGTTGAACAATTTACTGTTTGAGCATATAGTGCACGACTGAAAGGCGATTCCGAATGTTGAATGTATTACCTCATGTGCATGTCACAACTTAAAAACCACACCGTATATATTACTTCATTTTTATAAGCGTTTAACAGTAAATGAGCTATGTGGATGATAAAATTTTTAAGAGTTAATAATAATTCATAGTTTTTCAGTTGGTTAATAATTCAAAGCAAATATTTCGTTTTGACTTCATTTTTTTCATTTTCAGTGTACCGAAGCTGTTTATCAGAATCTCCAGCGATGGTTACCAACTGTTTTCAAGCTTTCGTCGTTGCGCATGTATATTTGATCTCATCAGATATTCATGAAATGGACTTCAAGAAAAGAAAAAAAGAGAGGAAATTCAAGAGAACCCAACATTGCGGCTGTCACACAGCCCTTTATTCTTTAATGTTGCCTTGGTAACGTGACATCAGTATCCGTGAGGATTTATGATAGAACCCTGAATCCATATCGCTTATCAGAGATGGGGTATATGGATCAGAAAATACGAACGTTGATTGAGTATGCTGTTAGTCTTAATGATGAAGTCTTTGCTCAGCGTGAAATTCACTGACCCCAGTAAGTTTTGCCCGATGTAAAACGATCCAGATAGCTCAAACTGTATCAGCTCTTCCAGAAGACAAACCCGTATAGGCAGGTATGTCCCAGTGGGGCAAACACAAAACTGCTCGCCGTTCATTTCTCAAATACTGGTACTCCGGAGAAATATAATATTGTATTGCCAACTCATAATGCAGTTTATATCTGTTTTGTACTTGTTTCTAAAACCAAAAAGGTATATACAAAGGCTGCCACATATGCCGTTACTAGAAATACACGAGCCCCGCAAAGTGAAGTTGGTATCATGCTGAAAATAGTGCACTGTTGTCAAAAAAGACAATATATACTCGATACAAGTCTTCGTTAATTTATTGATGGAAATAATGTTTACATTTAAACTATTTTTGACCCTTAAAACATAACACTTTGGGCTTGGTCGTAGACTCCGAAATAATTTTAAATTCTGAGGGCGCTCTCCAAACTGTCGAAATATATAGTGCTTGTCATGGAACATTGTCTCGGGCAAAAATGACACAATATATGACCGAAAGGTATACCTTTCATCAGCACCAAGGTTACTCCTTTGCGATTTAGGACGGTTACTTTTGGGGCTTTGTTCCATATGTTTGTCGTCGACATTTTTTAGGCTGTTTAGAGCGGTACATTTAGTTCATTATGTTTGAGATTTCTTTGGCGCCACAGTTCAGAAAGAGTTATTTTGTTGTATTTTGTAGTTTATTACCACTGAGTGACTGCATAAAAAAAACATTTTCACAGTTTCTTTCAAAATGAAAAGTGGCGGCTATAATTGAATTTAAGAGACTCGGTGGAGTCACTTTAAATGTCTTGCACTTGATATTCTAAAATCAAATTTAAAGAATTTTTTTCAGATATATTTAGTAACAACAAATCAAGATTTCTTTAGGCCTCAAACCACTAAGAAACTTCTCAGGCATGAGTTTTAATCAAGAACCTGACATTTTCGCAACCTTCGAAAAGGCACGTCTGCCATTGATGCACATGCCACTTTCCTCAACATGTCATCCAATTTTTTCCCCATTTTATGACACCTTGAAATTAGTAGTCTCTGCCTCGGCTTCTGTTGCCGTCATCGTTAACAATTCGTTGTGTGGTGCGTTGCTCCTCCTATAATACGATCGATATGGCCCACTTTGGCTTATCTTGTTCTTTCAGGAAGCTCTCACAGCAGCCCTTCGCTCACATAAGGTGGGTATGGTGCGCCAGAGAACAGCTTCTCCTCAAAACTCTCAAGACGACATAAACATCATTGGACGCAATACCCCGCCTCGCTGTTCCTACCTCAATCAAATAAATAAGCTAAATGCTTAAAGCGGGAAGTGGTTTGGCGATCAGACCAAACCAAACTGTGACAAAAGCCTGCAAAACAACCTCATGTTCTCCTTCGTGTCCTAACATTCTCCCCTAGCGTTGCCAAGGGGATGCTATATTGTCTGGAACACGTACGCATTGCCGCCCGAAATAAAGGCAATTGTTTGAACTGGAAAGAGATTCAAGGTGGTCGTTTGCCGCAAACCTCATGCGGTGAAATACAAATAGGCCTGCATACATCTGGAAAAGATACGACAGAACACCAGATCCGTAGTTTCACACTGATCTCTGAAAAGAAACAGTGAAACTGACTACAGCCTTCAAATATACTGAGAAATCTCCTGGAATACCTTTCCATAGAAATCACAGTCCACACTTCAAATAAGAAATATATCTCTATCATTTCGACAGTTGGTTAAAGGCTTCATCTTTTTTTTTGGAATTATACTTGGTTTAGTTCCTTCCGATGGAGCTTTATGTACGAGTTCATTTTTTGTCATTTTATAATTGGAAAAGGGGACACATATTTTTGTCAATTTCTGAATAAGCTCACTGAAAACAGGGTCTCGCCGGAGGGTATTGTGCGGCTTTTTTATTTTGACGTTACTGTTTGATTAGCGCCTTAAAAGAATAGCCGGAGGAATGCTCTGGAAAGCATGCAGGCAAATCGCTTAGGAGTGTTGAAATTACAACTCGAGATTCTCATCCATATATTCATTTGTGCCCGCTCAGGGCTACTTGTTAGTAAAGTTGGACACGGAAATAATTATTGTACTCCCAACAGATTCCTTCACGGTCCCAGCAGCGGATGGAAGGGACGACGATAACCCCTCGCGGATTGCGTAAATGGATTAAAACAAGGGATTCTTTCCAGGAGACAAACCTTCGAATGGGTACCCTCTTTAAAACGTGGCCCGAATCCCAACAACTTCACACTTGCTGGAATTGTTACAAGGCCAAGCAATTCTTGATATGCGTTGCATTTGTAAAGGAATCTTTCGCACCTTGGCTGCAGAGAGTAAGGTGCATGGTTGAAATAATGGAGGAAAAGTGTGACCTGATTGTATTGCTGCTAGGCTAAATATTAACAGAGAAGTGAACAATTCGCCCCAAACTGCAGAGGTGAGAAGTCCATACATTATGTCTTTGCCATCGCTAGCCGGACGTGTCGGTGATGAAACCAATCGAGTGGCTTATAATAGTTCAGCGCGCGAGCCGTCCCTAGTGTGCGCAACCTTATAAGGATTGCACTTGACTATAGGCAGCGATGTGCATCGATGGCTCGATCTGTACTTGATTAACTTTCGATCTGTTTCTCTTCCCCCGTCCCTCGCCTCGCCTCATTATCTCGGCCGTGGACTGGTTTGTACCAGGCGAGTTCGCGACGCGTAGAAGATATGCTGAAATACATGTAGTTTGTGCCTTGTCTGTATGCTACATGTGGGCCGGCCTACAGCTGTAGGTTAGGCGACACCCGCCCCCCATCGGCCGTAGCTCCACTCCAAAAAGTGTGATAAATATAATAATTAATATTTATAAGAAAAATATTATATGTTTCCTTTATTCTGCATAATTATGCAGACTTAAAACATGTAGTAAATGAATATACAGCAACAAACAATTGCATTCGAAAGTACGAGCCGCCATTTTGAACCTACAAAAATCCCCACTCACCCCATTTTACAGAAAACTTCACAACGCGGGCTTTTGTAAGTCTGTTTCAATATTTACAATTAGAGTGCACATTTTGTTCGGTTTCTAGACAGCCTTACAGGCCGACAACAAAAGCCTTCCGTTTGTCCAGTATTTCCAAAGAAGACACATCTTCAGTGTCGCGGGTTGCGCGAAATGTAAACTGAAAACGGAATGGCAAATGCAAATGTGTTCATCCTTGCGTATCCGACGACAAGTGACGGATACATGCCTACTGCCTACGTGTAGGTGTGACCTGTATGCGCTCGGTAGCGGTTTGCACGTACAGTACCTGTGTTTGCTGATCAAGCGCCGCGTAACCGCCCGAGTATATACAGTTTGCAGTCCGCCAACGACCCACGATAAAGTTGCGGGTTTTCTGCTTTGAACTTCTACGGATTCAACCTGAACGGACGGTGGATGTATAAACTGTTGGATATCTGTATTTTGCCCTCTCTGTATGCAGCTCGTTTCTGGCCACATGTTAGTCGTGTGACTGAGCGCTGTTGGAACTTAACCGTCACGTCTAAACCCTGCCGGTGACGACGGGAGCTGCGTGGAGCAGGGGTCGGCTGGCCCTCCAGTCACGGTAGTGGGAACTGCACGGCACTCACACGCCTTGCTTTTTGTAAGCCCGTCGAATTTCCTGCACTAATTATCAAAGAACGTTGGCCAAGAGAAAAATACTGAGTATTTATAGACCCTTTTGCTGGTTGATAAGTGTTAATACTTGTATTAGTGGATGTTGTAGCATTTTGGTGTAGAGCTGGTTCCCCGTTCAAAATTTTGTTCTTCCTAGTCGTGTTTGCAGTGATCAGAATGTCTCTTATGGCAACACATGCGCGAAACCGAACTCCAGACTTTGCATAAAACCTGTACATGTACACACGGTTTGCAACCACACTCTTGTGGACCCTTTTTAAAGCAATCTCTTGGGCCACCTGCGAGGCTATTAATCAATTAAGTAAAGATAGTCTACACGTAGTGTTCATTCATGCATGTCATTTGCCCAGGACGAAGACACATTTTAGACAAGAAGTAATTTTTAAGCAGTATACGACTGATTATAGGCAGAATGTGTGCCCTTTATCATACAAAAACCCGCGTAATTCATTTCAATTTGCTTCACAGGACAGGATTTCCACTTGAAGTGTTTAACAATTTAACAAACAATTACCACCACAGTAATTATCATCTCATCGGCACCGTGCACGTTTTGTCGACTCAACTCGACACCACAGTTCTCAACTACAGGCATACAACTGCACATCCCTTAAGTACACTCCGTCTTCCCGGCATAATTATTCAATTACATGTAATACGAAACCGGTGTTTTTATTATTTATTTTTTTATTAAAGATGAGGGTATATTTCAGTCTGGGAACCAGTCGACATTCATTCATTCACATACCGTTTTATTCTTTTCCCGCGGAATAAACGAGGCCGATGAAAGACCTAACCTGCCATTTTCTCATTTCGTTTTAAACGGAGTAGGCGGTATTGGACAACCTCTTCAGATAAATTGGTGCACCAAGGTGTTTGCCTAAGAGATTGGTTAAGAAAATATGAAAGTCTTTTTAACCGATGAATCAACCTAACTGTTTCGCACACACATTTGCTGCAAGTGCAAATAATTACTCACGAAATCTGTACAAAGAAGGGAATGCCTAGCGAGAGTTAGATTGGAGAAACTATTTACCTGTCAGACTAAAATTAATGGCGACTGTCTGATGGCAAATTCACCAAAACCATTTTACGAACAACGTGGAAGAGTTACTTTTGTTATTCCCACCCTTAAATGTGTGTGTGTGAAATATATTGTCAAACCTTTCCATATTGATACTGATAAAGTTAGTCAGTATAGGCCTAGGTTGACTTTTTTAGGCACGAAACATTTGCTGATTACCCAAAACTTTTGTGCTATTGAATCGATTCGGATCAAGTTCGTTTCATTATAGTGGAAAAAACAAAAATTAAAGCCCTTCTCAGTGGCCTTTTTCTCTGTCTAAGATTTTTTTTACGGTTAACTAAAGTTCCTTTGTAACCCTTTTTCTTTTTTAAAAAAATTGTCCAATATGTTTTGATACCGTAAACAGTGAGGGGGAAACATTAAAAACCATCTTAGGGAGGAGATTTTTTTTCTCTTTATTGATTAACATGAATCCAGTCTTGACTAAAGGAACATCAGTGTTCTTTTCATGCATAATGCATGAGTCTGTTGTGGAAAATTGAGATGTAAAACCAGCAAGGCGTGAAGAGACGACACTGAGATATGACTCCCATTGATTTAAATCAGTATCCTCGTTTGACTGAATTGAATCAATTGTATTGTAAGTGTGTTTAAGTGTGACGCTTGAGACTGCTGCCCAAATTTTCAGGCAATTGATAAGTACCGGTGTACTGTTGTGTTTCAGTCTGCCATCGTTTCGACTTCTTTTCCCCAGCTCTTTCATTGTGTGCATAGATGTGAAAAGTGGGCCTCTGATCGTTGACTTCATTGTTGGCTGTCTTTGATTTTTTTAAGCTGCAATTACACTCTCCAACAAGCGGTGAGCCATCATGGGACTTCCTCGTCCCAGTTTCGCCTTGGTCGCCCTCGTGCTTGCTCTCGTCAGCTTGGAAGGTGCCGGTGCAAAGTTCTCCCCGACGAGCGCCATGCTGGAGCTTGAAATCATCAAGGAGCACTCACCCTCGCTCTTGCGTAACCTGTGCTGTGAAGACAGAGATCAAATCTACGATTGCATCATTAGAGCATGGGGCTCGATAGGTGGAGGCATCCATGAATGCTGCAGCTACCTAAGGGGTATGTCCATGTCGTACAGCTGGCGTAATCCCGTAATACACACGTTTGGGTGGGTAGGGGCGGGATGCATCGGCGACCAAAAATTGCCATATCGAGCAACAGCTTCAGCGATCAGTATTGCATGTGCGCAGTGTTTGTTATAGCGGCGCTCTACTTGTCATGTACATGTATGTTTTGTGTAAAATGTACCGTATATAGCTGATAAATAACGCATTTCTCTGTCAGCATCAGAGCCCGTTTTGACTTTGTCCATTAGTATCAGTCGGTTCATTTTGTTTTAAGCTTTATGTTTTGTGGTAATTTTAAAAAGGAATCCCTCGACTTTTTGAGGGATTTCCCTGAGTTTTACCGTTGGTGCGTAGGAACAACAGAACATGTGTTAAGCCCAACTTGCAATTTTTGTAGTGGCGTGGCTCCGCTTTCCCTAACTCTTGAAATCTTTCGATGAGTCCATGTAAATTTTGAAGGAAATCAAGTGTTCAGGGTTAAACGTTTTCAGAGAAAGTGACTTAACACACCAGCATAGGAAGCACTCACGGTAGCCCGGATGTTGATTGTGATTGTGACACTTCGTTCCTTTCATGCAGTTTCTCTGCACGCGGTTTTCTTTATTCCTGTCAGGTGAGCAAATTACAAATGAGGAGCTAGCGGCCGCTTGGCTACGGGAACTAGATTACCTGTCGGTTGAGACAGCGTATGCTGGATCAAACTTCAATTGGAACTTCCAGACTAACATGACGGCTCAGAACTCTCTGGTAAATTGTCGAAGTCTTTATGATTTTAGCTCTTAAACTTTGATTTCCCGTTTTTACCCTCAACCGGCTTTTTGTGTGCTCCATTTGTCGGTCGATGTTGTTACTTCAGGATGTTGTTATTTCGAGGACAATCCAAAATGTACAAGGACAACATTTAACATAAGAGGTTCGGTTGTTATTCAGAATAATACGAGCGCAAGTAACTTATATTTGCGTAAGCCTAACACTCCTAAATCCTCCGATTTCAATATGATTTTATATACACTCTATGGAGGTACGGGTTAAAGGCAATGATTGGGATACTTGAGTCGATGAAAACATTGTTTTATTTATATGCATGCAAGTTTGTATCTGTTGCTGTATGTTAATATTCAGAAAAACGATGTTTAAAAAGAGTTATGGAAGTTGCTATTTTCTATACGTCCGTGCCCGCCTTGACATAATTTATTGACCCTTGAGACAGTACACGATTGGATGCCCTGCACCTCTGACCAATGAGAGGCATCGATAATTGCAAAGCTGCTCTTGCTCGTGGGTAGATGATGAGGAGCAATTCTCGACAAAGCGTCTCGGCCAATTCTTGAAGCCTTCCTCGATATATTGGTTCTGATGCCCCTTGACTGGACACAACATGCACTCCACGACAAAGTCCAAGAATAATTTTCGAGCGATGTTCCGTCCAATCTGTCATCAAATGTCTGAGAAGTAAAATTCATAATTATTTGGGTCTTTTGATATCTTTGTAAAGTATCGCTGCCAATGCACCAATGTAACTCATCCATCTTAAAATTTCTGGGAATATTGTGGGGATATGGCCCAAAGTTGCTGCTTAAATACCGTGGAAAACTGGAATAATTCAACTTATCAGGAAGCAATACTAGGTAAACCTGTTTTGCCTTTTTACAGAAAGGTTTGTTCGTTTGTTTCTTGTCACAGTATACCAAGAATTCCACGATGCTTATAGGGGATTTTTCCTTAGAGATGAAGAACCAAGCTCGTCAATTCGATACGTCCATGTTCCAGGACCCCTCTATTAAGCGTCAGTTTATGCTGCTGTTGAGAGGAGGTTACTTGAACGACAGAGCAAAACGCGAGTAAGTACATGTAGCGCAGTCTTATTGTAAGCGAAATTTGACACCCGACTGATACTCATATATATATATTGGCCACGTGACAAGAGCACACACGTGCAAAGCACAAGTTGAGAAATGATTTGGAAAGTACGGCAATGTGATTAACCAATATTGGTCCAGTGTGTCCTATTGTGTTGTACTTGAGTAGAGCCCTTTAATGTTGGCTTGTGATAACATGCTTGAGTATACAACAAGGCAACTCGACAGGATGTACTTGCATGTATTTATTAGGTGCCATATGGTGTACCTGAAACGTATTGTGAATGCAAGTAACAGAGCCCCGAAGCATATTATACATGTAATTGCAAAGCAGCAATATAAAGTTATATTACTTATATTGATAATGTACATGCATTTACAAGGGGTTTAAGTACTTATTAATCTTGTGTTTATGTGGTAAGTAGATAAATTTCCTGTATGACTGTGTTAAAGTTTTGTGAGTTGGCAATTTACTTATAATTGTTTTATGTTTGAAGAAAATAGTGGCGTAAAGACTTGAGTGTAGCGAGTAGTTAAACTTAGGGCGAGCAGTCTTACGCACAAACTCCTAACATTGCCAGTGTAGCGACTCACTCAGCAGCTAGAACTTTTGGCGCTCATGTCTGGAATATTCCTCCCTTTTAAATTGGACAGACGAATTTGAGGGTGCTCCTTTCATCCCTCACCGTCGGAATAGAAGGGACATTGAGCGAACTAGTTCGCCCTAGCCTGGTGGGGCACGCGTTATAGGGTACCCGGGCCGGGGGTCCGCCATTTGACGGTTGCCTGATGTCGCTCGGCAACGTAGACGGCAGCGTGGAGCTTTTGCACCGTAGTGCTGCCTGGTCAGGTGCGGCAACTGCGTCGGACTTTTGGACTTGGATCCGAGTCTCTGGATTCTGAAGTCATTTGTAATCTGCCTGTGTTTGTGTGATCTCATCGAGAGCGGCACACCAGCCTTGTTTATTTTCTAAAGGACCCGATAGAAAAGCTCCCTTTCTCCATTCTGCCGCACATCATCGGTAGTCGTCTTGGAAGACCGAGAGCATCCAAACATCAAACAAGAACAGAACTCTGAATGCTATCGCTGCCTGTCCATGATTTATCGCTCCTAAACCTTGAACTCCAACCGACAACCCATTATGTGTTTTCATCTTTAAAAATGTGAAAATCTTAGTTCCATTTCTTTGTCTGAATAATAAGTCTGTAGGAGTGGTTGTAAGAATGACGAAAACTACAGTTTGTCTTGTTCACATCCACCTTGTTTTGATTCCATTTTAAGGAATGAATTGTATGACTTTCAAAGGGTCATGAACACTCTTTGGTTGGGGATCATGACACTCGCTACATGTACACATTGAATCAGTCGTCGATGAAGTCTCGTGTTTCTTCTCCAGCGTGCACATCGCCATAGACCTGCGGTTATGTACATGTACGCAAATTGGCAAAGCAGAAAGAGCTGTTTTGTTGGTTTCAATAAGACACGAAGATGCCATGCTTACAGAATTGGCTGGAATTCCTGCTGCCGTGTAATGTTGGCGTGCTATAGGGAGGAGGTGCCAACTATTCATCAGCTTATCTGGCCTCTCAAGACCCCCAAGTGTTTTAAGAGATTGGTTTCTATATTTAGATTTACTCCTCCAGGTAATAAAGTTGAAGATTATTCTTGTAAAACTTCACTTTTTCCACTGTAACAGATTGCAATGGTTTCAAAAGGGAGAATGGACACCCAACCTGGCAGACGGTTGTTATGACTGTATACACCTTTTCTTCCTCAATATGTAGAAACATGACTAGGATTGCGAACGAAATGGAGAACATTTACGGCAAGGGCACAGTGTGCCGGGAGAACGGGGAATGTTTGACCCTGGAGCCGGACCTGGAGGACCTGATGGCAAACAAGCGAGACTACGACGAACTGCTGTGGGCGTGGAAAGGGTGGCGCGATGCAGTTGGTAGAAAGATACGCCCCTTATATCCACAGTATGTCGAGCTCAAGAATGAAGGGGCGAGAACCAACTGTAAGTACCGGCAGCCATGGGTTGCTGGCTTTGGCTGCCGTCTCTCGTGAAGTTTGAATAGCACAATACTCGCCTGTTTGGATTTCTTGCCTCCGAAATTCCTTGTCTTGAGGAAACACGCATTGCGTGTACAAACTGTTATCCATTTTTTTTTCTGTTATCACTCCATCTGAAAGAAAATAATCCCATCGGAATAAAACCGATGTTTTATGCGTGACAGTGCTTAGCAGATGCACACTCTCGCCGTCAGCCTTGTCATACATTTGGATTAGTTCAAAGGAACCATTTTGATAGAAGTTAGTGGTGTACATGTGTAATACCTTTTTGCTGCAGCTTATGCCGACGAAAGCGAAGTGTGGCAGGAGAGATACGAGATGAGAGGCGACGCGTTTGAAGAAATGCTGGGCGATATCTATGACGCAGTCAAACCCATGTACCAACAGTTACACGCCTACGTCCGCCGAAAACTAGCTGAGCGTTACGGCAAGGACAAAGTGGACACCAACGGCTTGATACCGGCGCATCTACTTGGCAAGTCATTACTTTTGTGACGCACATCAATATGATTGCTTACCTTCCTGAAGTCATTATCTGCACATGGCCGACTTCCACGAAGCATGCAGGATGATCTTTATAGCTGACTGATCATGCATGCATGAGCCAGGCAGCATCTAAATCGACTTTAAAGTGAAAAGTCGTTGGTGTATTTATTACACTGCAAAAACTGGGGTGTTAAATTTAACACCTGCGGTGTTATCAGAAGACTACACCAACACTTTTCACTGGTGTGAAAATTTTGGTGTTATTTGGTGTTACTTGTAACACCTTCTAGTGCACTGTAACACTTATAGGTGTGCAAAATAACATCTTCAGTGTTAAAGTAACACCCTATGGTGTGGTCATCTGATAACACCCCAACGTGTTGATTTTAACACCCGAGTTTTTACAGTTTGGAATCAAAATGTTCAAGCGTAGAGCGTTAATTTACATTGGCTTGATACTCCTTGAAAGGACCACGACTGTGAATTTGGCAAAATGCACCGCACAGTGGAGGATTTTTGAGGATCTTGCTGAATGGTTCCAAAACGAAGAATTAACAGGCGCACACAAACAAGAAGGGTGAATTGTCATAGGAAAAGTGCTTAGTGTTAACCTTAGATCAAAACCCAGCATTCGTAAGAATGTCAAATGTGCTATTTTGTGGGATTCTTCTGTTTTTCTAGGCAACATGTGGGGTCAACAGTGGAACAACATTTACGATCTGGTCATCCCTTACCCCGACGTGCCAGACCTGGACGTGACCCAGGAGATGCGTCGCCAAGGTTACACGGTCCACAAGATGTTCAAGGTGGCGGAGAGGTTCTTCAAGTCCCTTGGCATGGATCCCATGCCCGACTCCTTCTGGGAGAACTCCATGCTGGAAAAACCCAAGGATCGGGAGGTTGTCTGCCACGGATCGGCTCACAATTTCTTCAAGAACAGAGAAGTGAGGTAAAAGTATAACAGAACTTACACAGTAGCAGGGAGCTAGAATTGCTTCAGAACCTACTAGAAGTTATCTAGTCGAGGGAAGAGATTGTCATCGTCAGAGATTATGATTGATATTCGAGTATCATTATCCCTAAGCTAATCAATGAATCAATATTAATCATTGGTAGCATTGCAGCTACTCTAGACTCCTCTCTGTATGGGATCCAGATTCTCATCGCCTGTTTCATCACTTAAAATGTGTTTGCTTTTGAATCGAGATCCATCATTATTGCTTTCTTAATAAAGGAACAAATATGTGCTTGCCGGTTTCAAAAGTGGGTTTAAGACTGGCTCAGGAGAATGGACGCTGATAATGCCCGAGCCACACCGGCTATGCACATATTTATTCCCTTACTGAAATACATAGTTTGAGCGTTAAAAGCCCTAAACATTATTTGGAAATAAGAGGATTGAGGACCTCTAATTTTCAAATGATTTTACATACATCTTAGGGGGTTAGACTTAAGTGGAACAAAATTTGAAGCATAGGAAAGTCATAGTGTGTGTGCGTCTGCTGTGTTAAGGATTTGTGCTTGTACAGACTTTGCGATTCATTTGAATCTTATTTTTCTTAAAGACAAGGGATCTAAATAAGAGTAGCTCTGAGAGACATGTGACTTGAACGGAGACTCGTTCTCAAGTGCATAAGCATGGATGCAAGGGACTTGCTTACTTTTTTTTTCTTCTGGGAACTCTGTGATGCTACTTTCAGGATTAAGATGTGCACTGAAATCACGATGGAGGACCTGTACACGGTGCATCATGAGATGGGTCATTGCGAATACTACCTGCAGTACCACCGCCAGCCGGTGGTGTTCAGCAGCGGCGCCAATCCGGGATTTCACGAGGCGGTTGGGGATACCATCGCCCTGTCGGTGGTCACCCAGGACTACCTACACGAGATCGGTCTGCTTGATAAAGTGTCACGCAATAAAGGTGAGCTTGTAAAGTTGGAGCCTCCGGTATTTCTCGAGCCGGTATAGTTGGTTGAGCGCACGTGCAGTTGCGTTGAGACGGGGAAGCAGTGTTGTAATTCAGCCCTTCGTAAGTCCCTACTTGCAAGGCCATCACGAAGTCATCATGTCATCCAGTCTTGTGACAGCAGAATTTTGTTAAAGGAACTTTGATTTCGTCGGCTACAACACGGTTTGAGCTCAAACTCTCCTTCTGATTCTGTGATCAAACCCTCAATATCAAAACAAATTGGCAACAGAGGGAGAAAAGAAAAGGGCTTCCGCAAAACTTGTGAAGTATTTCCACGTAATATTTACATCAAAAGAGGTCAGAAACAGAGCCAGAACGCGACCATTGTGTTCACGTATAAAAGATGTCCAGCCGTTCAACCTTTTTGACTTTTGTTAATTCTTCCGGTATCACTCCCGTTAAAGTCTCCTAAGGCAACTGAATACGAAAAGTAGGCAGCTATTCAAAACGCCGCATTGATGTGTTAATCATCCCAGCAGAAAGTGGTGAACGATCAGTGAAAAGGTGAAAGTCTCCTTTTCACACTGATGCATTAACGTGCATATATACAATCGCACTCGTCGTATGATTACAGAGAGTGAGGCGATTTCAAGAGCTGCGGGATGGACGGGCAATCCTTTTAAAGGTTCCTTATTTCCATAATTATGTACGTTTCTTTGGGTGCTGTGCGTACACGTTGAGTTCATGCGTTTCACTTTCACGGATACAGAAATCAACTCCATTAACATATCACATGTGCATGTTCCATTCGGCCGTCAAAATTGCTCCGAGAGCGATTTTGACGATACGCAATGCTTGGCGCAAGTGTTGAGGTGCATATTGAGGGCCCCATAAGCCTGTTATTTGCGGGTCTTTCAAATGTCATCGCTATGGATTTTTTTTTTGGTTTGTTTTTGGAGGGGTATGTGCCAAGCTTTCATGAAGCTGTAAAATGGTGTCTCGCATGGTGTAAAATTTTGAACCAAGTTTTCTAAGGAAATTTTAAATTTTCAACCTTGGGATGCCAAACAGTGATGGGTTTTTCAAGGGCTACACACAGGAGAAAATGTGTTGGAAGGATTCTGTGCTCATGAATACAAAGAGCACATATCTAACTGGCTGAAAATGCCTTCAATGCAAAAGTACATACTTTCACCGACGTGTATTCTTAACACTTGTATGCCCATTTTTTTTTGCCCGACTACTTGCGAGAAAATTCACAAGCTCACTTGTGTGGGATCGAACCCACCACCTCCGGCTTACTAGTGCAGACGTCTTAACTACCCCAACGTATAATTATTTATAGGCCTAACACTGTTTGCTGAGTGTTTAATTTGTCTGAGAGCTTATGCACACTCCCCGACGTAGAGCTTTGGAAATAGTGCCTGCAACTGACTCAGTCTGGGCAGCTGACCCTGGCAAGCTCGTAGGTCGAGTGCCGATGTCAGCACTAGTAAGCAATAAGCAGTAGGAGTCAGCTTGTGAATTTTCGTGCAAGTTCTCGGCCAAACACTGAACATACGGTGTTATGAATACGTGTAGACATTATTAAAACCGTTTCATTTCCCAGACATAAAGTACACCTTTGGACGTGGACTTCAATAAAATCAGTACAGCTGAAGTATCGCTCAGGTTTCTAGTTACAACGGTAGTTTGTCCGCTCTCAGTGTAAACAGTACAAGAGGACTACCCGTGTTCAATTTATTTTTTTGATCTCGAAAAGTATCTGTTATCGCTGTCTGTGTAAATGGGCCTTTGGCCTTTTAACAACACTTTATCACACGATATACGTGTGAATAAGTGTTTTTGCTCTTCAAATGACAATTTTTTTACGTGTATATTTCAGAGGCTGATATCAACTACCTCATGAAAGTCGCCCTGAGCAAAATCGCCTTCTTGCCGTTTGGGTTAATGATTGACAAATGGCGATGGGGTGTGTTCCGAGGTGAAATCAAGCCGGAATCGTACAATGAAGCGTGGTGGAAACTGAGGTATGTAATAGACTCAGCCTGACTGCGTCTTGGATAACTTTGCCTCTTCCGAGAAACATATCTTCTCCCCTGTAATCAAGAAGCACATCCGTCCGTGCATAATGATTCTAACCTTCTATTCAGGAGAGCAAAATTTCTTCGGATTTCTACCACAAGTTACAATTTAACTGATTCTGAACTAGGACCATCTGAACCTGAGCTCACCTAGTTTTTTTTCTGGCACAGTAATTAAACAATCGGGATATAATTGTTTGTACGCTTGATTATGACTATGGAACAGCATAATCTTAATTTTGGGTCAAATTTTCACTGCAATTCAGCATGTGAATTGTCTGTGGTATAATACATGCATATAAATCCGTTCTGTGTTGGATTAATTAGGGAAGAGTACCAGGGCCTGAAGCCACCTGTTGAACGGACTGAAGAGGACTTCGATCCCGGCGCTAAATACCACATTCCCTCAGGAACTCCTTATATTCGGTAAGATGAATAGGGGATAGGCCCGAACGATGATACCTTTTTTGAACGTCTATAGCCTGTCGTGTTTCATGCGTCTGCTATGTGGGAAAAGTTGCAAAGCAATTTCCATTGATAAAAATCCCGGAAATCAGCTGCCGTATAGGGTGAAAACAAGACACAAGGTGTGTACATGAAATGACATTTGTGCAGGTTAGGTAGGTATTAACCATATGGCCATCGGCTGCATGGTGCGTTGAGCAGCTCCGTGAAACTGCCCCTCTAATGCTGTATGTCTTCTACCATTCCCCTTTCAGAGATTTCTCCCAACTCATTTGCGCAGCCGCAGGCTAATATTTTAGGTGTTTCAAGCACGTGGAAGTCAAATACCTATACAGGTGCTAGGATTAGTAAAGCCGTGCCCTTTGGTAACACGGCATACAAAAATAAAATGCCTGTCAAGACATAGTGTCGGTATTCCTTGTCGGTGTTCGTTAGAAATCTTTTTTGTGTATTAAGCGACATGCAGTCACTCCTTTCCAGGGAACTATGCATGCCTGTCATGACTTTTGTGGAATTATGGGGACTAATAGCGTTTTTATGCCCTTTTTTCTGTCTTTCAACAGCTACTTTATCAGTTTTGTGATACAGTTTCAGTTCCACCGAGCGATGTGTGAGGAGAAAGGTCACGTGGGTCCATTGCATTTATGTAATAATTACAACTCCAAGAGGGCAGGCCAGAAATTACGGTAAGTACGGTCATGCTTGAACCTGCGTGGATAGCTCATGGTCACATTATCAGCTCTTCTGAGAATTAACGTAATTAGTCTAAATTACAACCAAGAGCTTGAGTCGACGCACTTTTTTAATCGACGAAGTCAGTTTTGAATATCAAGGTCGACGTTTTGCAGTTTACTGTCGTCCATACCAATCATGCGAACCAAATTTATTTGGAAGCTCATTGCGACACAGAATGGCCTTTTTTGCCGCTAGCTCTTGGTGGAGCATTTTATGGTGAAATTTCTCCAGTTTGCCTAGACTCACGGCCGTGAAGAATGCTTTCAGATGATGATACACAGAAGCATTTGAAGAAACATTGTCGTCCTAAATGGTGTTCATAGCGCGCACTCTGTATTTTGCATTGTACGCCAACCTCGTGCATAACATTTAGAGGGCGCCACTGTGGCTGTTTTGTGAGGAAAACCACCAGGTGCATCACTGCTTTCATTACCCGAGCCTCGTCCTGGCCATCAGCATTGCGCCCCCTGGGGGAAAAAGATGAAATATGGCCCCCAAAAAGATGTGAGACCAAAACTGACACCCTAATATTACCGAACAGACATAATGTCGTCCAGTTCCCCGAAGCCTGATATATGAAAACGAAGTTTTCTTCATCATTATCGATTGACCGGTAGATTATTGTATTTCTGCAGTGACATGCTGTCCCTTGGAATCAGCGTGCCATGGTGGGAGGCTCTTGAGGTTCTTACGGGCTCAGAATTCATCGATCCATCGGCCATCCAAGAATATTTTGCACCTCTCATCGAGTGGTTGAAAGAACAAAATGGCGACAACGTGGGCTGGCAAAAACACCTGTGAACATCCAAGAGTACATGTACATCCATCAACTTGCCCGCGCCCAAAGATCCCAGCAACATATTCGAGGAATTCTTCACCGAAAGTGTTCATCATCTCATCGAATCCTCGTCATGAGTAGCATAACGGAGTGGTGTAGGGAGTGTCATCTTTACAGATCTTTCTCTGTTACCTGAAATTTGTACAGGGGGCCGAAGATTGCCGAAAATTCAGCCTAAGTTGGTTTGCAATAGGTTTTTGCCTAAGGGCAGTGGATATTCAGTTGTCGATGTCAAATTTAACTAATAAATGATTGTTTTTGTCGGCCACATGCGAAGTAACTTTTTTGGACTTATAAATTCTTACCGTGACAAAATTAGTCTGGTTCTGCGCCAACGTTGTGCCTTTGTAGTTATGAGGTGGGAATCAGGCCACTTTACAATTTCTGACTTTTTCCCTAGAAAATTCCTCCATAGCCACGAATCAGAAAAAGAATATGCTTAATTTTGGGAACAAAAACCCTACAGCTGGGGATGGAACCTAGCAAGGAGAACATCACGTTCACCGCTACAGACTCCACCTGCGACCTACTGGTTATTTAATTAATTATAACCATTATAGACTTTCTTGTGTGTATGCTTCAAAGAGGGCGCTGCCCTGTTGTAGTCAGCTAAATATCCATTGTCTTTGCGGCAACACGCACACGTGCCCTTAGTACTGCAGAACTACGGAGATATTTTAACAGTAGTATTATTTTTGGGGGGTTGCATTAGAGTTTTAACTTTATGTAAAATTATTTTTTTTGTCTTTACGATTATAACCAACCATTATTTGCCAACCACTGGTCCGCAGAACCTTACACCCGTAACGTAGCAAGAGAAAGGTCTGTTAGGATGATCGATTGTTTAACCGATTAACTGGCTTGAAATATAGGTTTAGGGGAGCTCTGTTTCATTTCTTCTTGTACAAGCGTTAACTATTCCACCGTCCCGAAGTTTCCTCGTATTAATGCCGTTTCTCGATCTTCTTCTGCAACGATTCCCAGAGAAACCCCTTTCATCTTGCGTGAATTATACCCGGCAAGAAATGAGACCGAGGGGTACCCCCCCAACATGTCCAATCCCTATACACGTTCCAGACTATTGTTACTTAANTGGATGTTGTTCGTTTTCCGTCTAACAAAGAAAACTGAAAAAAAAACTGGAACACAAAATGCTGCAAATCTGGTCATGACCCTAACAACCAAATACTCACCGGCGAAACTTTCAGTCACTGTTTAAACCTGATTCATCCTCGGAATTTGCAAGGGGGGGTACTGTATTTAATTGCTGAAATTGTTGGACGTTAACGATTGAACTTTATGAGAAATATTTATTTTTTTGTTAAATTTATAATCTATTGGTAGTTGTGTAATGGTTATAGGAAACAGTTAACAGGAGAGTAAGCACTATGTTACCCATTAAAAAGTAACGGGTACTGATCTATCTTACAAGCTTCAAACCAAATTCTTTCCAGATCGGCTTTCTGTTACATAATTGTCGAAAGGGACATCATTGGTTGCACTGTGAATGACCCAATGAAGTTCACTACAGATCACAAGTGAGCCTTCAGCTGAAATCCTCCGTAAGAGTTGTTACTACGATCTTCCGTGAATACTTGTGGTTTTAACCCTTTTTGCCTTTGAAGGATCTTTGCACCATTTACATTTTTATCGGTCCGTTTTGGTTTTAACACAAAATTGAATAGCAATATTATATATGCCAGCGAGGATGTTGAGAACGCACTTGTCAAAATACCCTAGGCACGGACGTACACGGAGGTGAAAACCCAGGACTGTTGGCACAAAATTTCCAGGGATTTCAGTGACATCTATCTGAAATAGCGCCAGCATGTTGGAATTTTTCTAACTAACTTTTTTTTCGACTAAGTGGAAACAATGCAGTGGAATAGTGAAACCCCAGGATATTTTGCATGAAACTCCCACGGATGGTTGACGTCAAGCCTTCAGTAAACATCAGATGCAACCCCAAGATATTTAAAAAAATCTTTTGGTACAAGGTCTAATTCATCTGAAAATTTGCGCGCATGTAACTGTTACGCGTGAGCGACTTTGGGGCAAGATTTGACGAATATCAGGGATGAGATTGACCAATGATAAAAAAACAGCTAAAAACAGCTGAAAAACAAGCATAAAGAAGCTGAACTGTGAAAATCTCCCATATTTTTGCCAATACTTTTGTATACAGTCAATGAGAGAAAAAGTTGAAATCCAAAACAAAAAAGCTGAAAAGCTGAGAAATCTCACCCCTGGAATATTGGCGAAAGTCAAACCTTGTTTCACCCATAAACTCGTCTGCTAGTAAATGCACTGTTTCTACTTTCTTCTTAATGCAAAATTCATGCGCAAATCCATCAATATACAATCTAAATGCAAATGATCCCAGTGGACCTTGATAAATGTAACTGTAATTTGTACCGGCCTTTTCTTGTGGTGCTTTCTCGAAGCGAATTTGAAAACGGGGTAAAGGTATAAATCATGTTTATTTTATCAGTTAGTTTATGTATAGATATACTTATAAAGGTATTTGCCATCTTTAAAAGCAGTACAAAGCAGAGTTTTGATATGCAGGTACGTTTGAAACACCATAATATCTCAAGAGGTCAGAGTTATCTGTTATGTAAAACTTTATAGTCTTTGTTTAGTCAAGGTGATTACCGCTATCATTAAGATTTTAGTCTACGAACGGCACACATATATAGCACTTTAGAAAAGACCGGTGCAGTAAACGATTTAACTTGGGATTTATTTTCTAATTTTTTAATGTATTTTTTTTACTGCCACCAATGTGGTAGTTATAATAATGGTCACAACACAAAAGATGCATTTTCGCTATGACCAACAAGGTAGTGCCAAAAGTGAGCAGGGGGCGTGGTGTGACTTAGGACGTCGTCTTCACAGACGTCTAGCTAAGTTATAATTGAAGACAGTTCGTTAAAAATGACCATACACCCTCGGTGTATTTTAGAAGTACTGAGAAGCCTATTTATTTTCGATGTCCTAACGCATCACGTGTCAAGTTCACAGGTGTTGGTGAAGATGTATAGGGAATGTGTATGTATTAAAGGTGCTAAATAACTTTATATTGCATGAACGGATGCATTTTCCGTCGTACATCTTCGTTTTTGGGGGGCAGATCATCCCATAATTCTTCACTGTCAATCAGCCTGTTCTGTCCTCTAATTTTTTTTGTCAAATGTCCGTGTCGAAGACGGGGAGCTGAAGGTTTTCTCCCCTAAATAAAGAGCCCCTCTGTGATTTTCCGACAGCACAAAGTTTGCAGAGAACTTTTTTTCTTCAAGTCACAATACTCCAATACTTTCCCCTCTTTTTGACATTAACTTTTAATTTAAAAGGGTAAGGGCCATATTGGCGCATGTGTATGGTACAAATAGACCTTTCATTGTGCAAAGTGCAGGCATAATGTTTTGGGATGGATCTTAGAAACGTTGTTACCTGCTTGATTCTACACTGAGCACTAGACCCCAAATAATATGACCTTTTCGAGTCATAGACTCCCTCTCACTGATCTCTATACACTGGACAGGCAGCTCAGCATTAACTGCCTATGTGTGAATTGAAATGACCGTGCGGCCATCTTAGGATATTCAATACCATGGCCTCGAACTTCAGTCCATTCACTAAGTGCATTTGTGCACGGCGCTAAAGCCGGTGACTTGGAAAATACCACTGTACTGAATAGCCTAAGATGGCTGCGCAGTCGCTTCAATTCGCAGAGAGAAAAGCTGCCCATCCAGTGTAATGAGATCAGTGCTCCCTCCCAACCTGGACCGCATGCGCTGTGTGCGCATTCCTTCATTAAGATCGCGCATGGTGGGAATCAACATAGAGCGGCAAAATCGTACGTGGGAACGAGGTTGACTCCGGCCAAGCCACACCTTACTGTCGTTAGTCTAACGTGCATGTGCTCTTGTTTGTGTGTGAAGTGCGTCTGTGTCTTCACACTCACAGAGAAAAGGACGAGGTGAGCACTTTGCAAAATGGAATGATGCTTATCAATGCTTTTGATTGACTTAGACTTACCGTATGAGGTAAGTGTAGTGATTATGTAATCTTTTCATGAGAGAAGTTCCCTGTGTGTTGAGTATATAAACAATCAGTTTAAATCCAGCTTAGTATCTGTGGTGTAGCCGATCCAGCTTATACAATCAGAATCTTTCCCGTGGTATATTAAAAAAATTGTGGTGAACTGCTAAAGTGCTGTTTATTTGAAATAGCTAGTAACATTTTTTTCCAAAACGACCACCCCTCGGTGGCCAGAGTCAGGATATCCCTCAGGAATAAACCTAAAGAAAATTCTCAATTTGTGTATACAGGTGGGAGGCAGGAACACGTAGGTATAATAAAAGTGGGTACAATTTTATTTTAGAAAATCAAAACGAAACTTGAACAAACTGCAATCACGCTAAGATATGTACAACATTCGATTGCTGTAGTTAAGTGAGGGCGCTCAAACAATCTCTAAACCGAGTTTCCTCGTTTTTAATCAAGAATACGTCGTCATAAGCCGCTAAAACATGCAGGGTATAATTGCGACCTCCGAGAGTGTATACTTATCAAGAGATAGTCAACCTGTGTATTGATTAGAAAAAAATTTTTCTTGAATATACCAGCCTCTTTAAAACATTGGTGATATACAAGTAGATAGAGACGCGTTTTGCAGAGATAACTGGATCTTTTACAAGAATAGAGGGATCCATCATCATGCTTTAAAGGTACAAATCATGGATTATAAAATCAGCTACTGTGAATGGTGGTCCCCAGGTCATTGGGCTTTTTTCAGTAAATATATATCACGGGATTATTGTACATGATTTTGATAATGCCTACGATGTTCGGTATGATCTTCCGTAGAAACTACAACGAAGGCGCTGTTTTGATTATGCAGTCAAGGCAATTCGTGCAATCAAAAACGAGGCATTCCACCATGAAAAAAGAAACCATGGTTACCTAGTTCGTCATTACATGAAGCTGTGGTAAAGGGTAAAGGAATGTTAGGAGGGGGTCACTCTCAGCCATAATCATTCAAAATAATCTACAAATACACCGTTTTATAAAACAGAGACAGTGATATCACTTCTAAAGGCAGGTTATCCATCCAACAAATGTTTCTACACAGAGATCAGCACCACGATCTTAAACACCACGCACAAGGTGTGGTAATTTCACAAGCCAAAATCAAATTCAACTGGATTTTGAACATAAATTGCTTAAATCTGTCTTTGAGAGTATGGGGGAAATTGGAATTTAAGAAGAAAAGGCAAAATAATACAAATGAGATGATAAAAATTCTTGATTCAGCGAAGGTGGTTTACAGTAATTTCAAACGGACGAATGCCAATGATGGAATGGGAAAATCAGCGACATAGGGGGGTCGAAAGGGCTTCAACTGCGACATTCCATGCAGTGAGCACCTTCAATCAATAACCATGAGTGATGTCTCTCTTGAGGAAACAGACTGGAATCATGGGGCTGTATTAGGGCTTCAAGAGGAGCACCAGCGACGTGAGAACTAGCAAGGCCGAGAGAGATATCTGAGTGGCTGTCACGGCTGCACCTGATGGCGGCCAGGCGGGTGGCTCTGCATTCACACGAAAAGATCAAACAACACATGGAAAGTCCCTTGATCAAAGATGTGCAGGACATAATCTTGACCGGTAAAATTGTGAATTCATAAATACCTCAGACAGTCTCTCTATTCTACAACGTGCAACTTGACCGTGTATTGATGATGCCCGCTGAGAAGTGATAATGCCGCTGCGTATATCATGGATACGATATAGTTTCATCGATTCTGATTGGTCTAAAGTCTGTGTGCCCGTGACTCGCCACGCACGCACCAAGTCCACATAAGGAGATTCTTTTGGACAAGTTGCTCAAGGAAAATACCATAAAATGGACGGAGGTGTTCGGGAAAATTAAAGTAGAATTCTAAAACAAAACTGATGTAAATCCATCATATATTGACTTCGTTTGAATCTCTGACTAAAAAGATATTTATGAATGGGCTAACTATGTGCTTGGCCAGTCTTGGCCGGCTTATGAGAATGGACACGACTAATGCCCGAGTCGCAGGCGAGGGCGTTATCAGCGTTCATTCTCCCAAGCTGGTCTTAAACGTTAGTTTAAAGTGGCCATGCAGGCACATGGTTATTCCCTTGTGAAAATAATAATTTGGAAAAAAATCAATAAACTTGCCGACTCCATACGTTACCCTAATGCCTGCTAATTCGCCCGTTTACCAATTACACACTTCCCATCGAGCTTGTTCAATAAACAGGCCAGCATAAACAGTGATTTGGCTATTACGAAGTTTCCAAACGCGTAATTGCTTTGTAAGGTGTGCATGGTACGAAAACAGTGACCACTACGAGTGATGAAACGCAGGACCAAATGGGCAACAAGTACGCTGTGAAGTCAAAACGTGGTCTTTGCGGGCCAATCATGATGGCGTGTTGGCGCGACTCCCTCCCACAAGATGTCTGAAGTTGTTGCCAAACATACAAAAATCTTTCTCTTTCTTAAACGCAAGTATCCAAACAAAACCATTGCTGCAATGCATTCCTATCATGTTGTCGCTGCTGCATGTATATACTCCCCCGGCCCTCCCCAAACCATGAGTCGGCCCTTAAAATTTTGACTGATTCTTCAAAATGTTCCCCACTGCAATTTATTTGACCAAAGTCCCACAAAATTGCCAAATCGTGCACCTTTCTCTGAACATAAGTTTAACTGTCGTGAGAAGCACACCGCTTCCTTCAACTACTCTGGGTAGAAATTGGGTCCGAAATGTATCGTCAGAGTTCTAGGAAGGTTTCCTTTATTACCTTTTGGCATCCATTCCTCGCTCCATCCTAAAGTTTCCCCCGCGTTCTGCTCTTCCAGCCAAGTGACCAGCGGCTCAAAGTAGTCCAGCAGCGGCTCAGCGCTCATGTTTCGCCCCCCTGTAATCTTCTCCAGGGCTTCAGGCCACTCTCTGCTCTCACCCATTTGTAGCATATCGCTGAGTGGCAAAATATTGGCGGATGAGAAGAAAGACAGCGAGGAGCATACATCCAAGAGTGTTGGGGGAAGAGAAAGAGAGAAACCCCGTCGAAAGATGAAAACAATTTTAAAGGGGGTGGGGGATCGGAAGAGGAGAAACTAAAGAAATGGGGAAAGGTGATGGAAATATATGTAATCGTTTTTATTAAAAAGCCTCGGAAATGCCCGAAATGATCATGACACACCTAGGAAACTCACCCGAGCAACTTTCCTGCATCTGTGCTGTTGTACACATCACATTTCAGCAGAGCACCAGTGTGTCCTGCCGCGTCGCACATGGCTTTATGAAACTGGAATTGAAGAATGAGGCTCACAAAATACCTGAAATTGGGAAAGAATTGTAGGGAATAGTGCCTGAGTAAGGGCGCCCTCATGCTACTTTTTAAACGCAATTTTGCATTCACGTAGGTAATTAACATAGACTTGTTACTTCATTGTGCTGCCTCTCTCGGCTTCGGATCTCGAGAAGTATAGAACGGCTCTTTCAGCATTTTTACTTCTATCATTTTGAGCTTGCTTTGAATGTGGGAGAATGTCAGTGCTAGAAACCACCAGTAAGTTATTATCATTACTTATATCTTACACGATCTCTGGTTGGAGAAATGGCAAGGTTTACAGAGCTCGACGTGGCGACTGTGATCTTAATAAACCATTTGCAAGTTAAATTTGAATAAAATCTGGTACATTGAGTTATATATTATATGACTGCATAGAAATGAAATAATTTTAAATCCCCAGACTAAAGACTCTGCTGCTATACCTCGCGATTCGGGACAAGCTTTTTGCACAGCGACCACCATCTCTGGAATGGACTGGTTCTTTTGTGCCCTTTTTATCCATTGAGAACAGTGTATTGTTGCAAGGCGTCTCTTATGTAACTGAGCTAGAGCTTGCCTCGAATCACAACGTATAGCAACAGTGTTTTTAGTATGGACAATTCAAATTGTTATGTTCACGTGAATCTAAAGATCTCAGTGTACCAGATTTTATTCCAATTTAACTCGCATTTATTAGGACTGTATAATTCATGTATAGTGTACAGTACAGTGTACAGGTGTGATAGCCATGTGGTATAACCTCTGACCGTAACATCCATTGTAATCATTATTTACGGTGCCGTCTCCCAGTATAGTTAGCCTACTTTTGTCATATGGAATAAACTGTGGTTTTTGGAATTGGATGTCAGTCATTGTCCATTTCTTGTCCCCCAAATACTCGTCCGCTTTATCCACCTCGAGCTGAAGTGCACCCCCAATCGGCGAAAGCAAGACAGGTGGTATACACACGGGTTCTTGCACACGTTCCGGGTGTACGCAAAGACCATCCGGTTTGTAAGTGTGACGTCACTTCAGTTTAAACCACGCCCACTGCATATGCACTGTGCATAGAGTTACATGCATTTATCACCGTTTACGTGGAACCATGGAACCGGAAGTTAACGCACAACTTCTGCTATCGTCCGTTGGGAGCCTGCAAATCGCGGCGCGTCCGCCTTTGTGACGAAGTCACTTACGAACCGGATACATACCGGAATCCGGTGTGGCGGTCTCAGCTGCCTCCGGGGTCTCAGCGGTCCCCCTTACCAAATATGGTAAAAGTACGTTATGCCATCTCTGCACACAACAACGGGAAATTCGTCCGTCTAAGTGGCGTGCTGAGCAGTGCAGCCTTGCATAATTATGTGACATGTACTAAACATATTCCTACAAAGATAATAGCACCGCTTATAGTACCGTGTGAGTTAGTCATGCGGACATCTCAGCACGGCAGACCAACGAGACCGTGCTTGTGTCGTGCTGAGACCGGGAGACAGCTGAGACCGCCACACCGGTTCGTAAATGTGACGTCACTTCAGTTTAAACCACACCCACTGCACATGCACTGAACATGCAGTGATTGCCGTTTACATTGAACCGTAAGTTAACGCGCAACTTCAGCTGTCGTCCAATGGAAGCCTACGGAAGCCTGTTAGGGGCAAAGTGTGTTTCTCTTTCACGGCGGTGTGTTTCTCTTTCACGGCGGAACTCGCGGCCGCGAGTTAAGTAAGTCGCGGCCGTGAATGAATAAGTCGCGGACGCGAGTTACTGGCAACAACGAAAGAGAAACACACCGCCGTGAAAGAGAAACGCACCGCCGTGAAAGAGAAACACACCGTGACCCTAACGGGCTTCCGCAGAAACCTGCAAATCGTGGCTCGTCCGCCTTTAAGCTTTGTTACGAAGTCACTTACGAACCGGATAAATTAGTTACGCGTACTCAGCGTGCTCCGCGTCAAACGCGCATATACTTGTGCACCTCATGGCGCGCCTAAGCAGTGGATACCCCAAAACACGCCCTCTTTGGTTCCGCTAGGAGTGGATGGGGGCTGAATCTCTTTCGTCCCACCTCCAACTGACTTAGGGCTGGTCCGCCACAGAAAAGTGTGTCTTTTAAATAAATCTACATGTTGGGCGCAGTTCCAGAAATTAGTGGAGATGGAGCGACTTGTTTCTCCACACTTTAGTCAAGTGTAGCAATCATGCCGTGGATAACGAGTCGGCATTCTGGAACCTCAGGGTTTACAGAGTCTGAGCTTGGAACTAAGAGGAGTACGGTACGGTTGAATACGGACATGGGTAGGTAAGCCCGTCAGTCCCTCCCCCCTGCAGTATGGATCCACTGTTATGTGGTACAATAGTTAATGTTTCTGACTGAGTCAGAGAGACACAGAAAAGGATTCACCCATCGGCAAAAGGACATCTGGACGACAACTAGTCTTGTTCATTTGGAACCACGTTCATCAGCGGCGCATCCAGCATTTGGTATGTGTGCGGGTGTGTGTGTGTGGGGGGGGGTTAAATTCAAAAGCGAATGCGGTTTTGGGATCTTTCAACATGATGTTGGGGGAGAAAAAATATCAAAAGCCGAACTTGCGGTCCCGACATCTTTGCTTTGATTTCATGCTTTCTCCGGCTTTTGGCGCTAATATTTGATAAATAAATATACCGATTACGTTCTAACCCATGAAGTGTTCTTTGCTCTATGGTTTAATTAAAAAACACTGTCAAGGGGTCAAGTTACCGCCCCCTCGTCCCCCGCTGGATACACCTCTGACATTCGTAGGCCAATGATAGGAGAGTTGAACCTGTCACCGTCTATATGCCAATCAAGTACATGTATTGATTCGGTAAGAGTTTTGCAATGCTGGGAGTAGTTGTGATTGCTTGCGCCTTTTACGATCCAGTGGAGGGATTTGGAAAACAACCCGCAACCTCATCTCGTTTGTGTACATGTAGTTTGGAACGGCGCACCAGCTATCCATGGTATTTTACCACGGAGATCAGGTATTCATACGGGGCTGGGCTATGCGAATAATATTCACCTGATGTACGGTGTGTCCGAAGGAATGTGATACTTTGCTGCTGGGTCAAAATTAGCCTCTGAACGTGGTGTTGGCGGAACGATCCCCTGGTACTGGGTTCTGACGAAAAAAATAGTCCGATAACAATAAATTCATTCAAGTTACATGCAGGCTTGGAAAGATTTGAACCATCAGGGACCACGCTGAAAAAAAAAAATTACCCAATAGATCTATGGCTTATTGTAGACGCGGGACAGGCACTGAGATGTGCACATTTCTCTGCTTTCTGACAGAGTCAGGTATATGGAATGCATAGTGAAGTCATTTCAGTAGTGTTCACGCGTTTGCTTTACATAAGTTGATAGAAAGCTCCATAAAGAATGATCAGACTCCAAAATGAAGTTTTACTTACTCATATATCCCATCTGATGAGAGAGGTTTATGAACTCGACTCCCTGTTAGTTTCGTTTATTGATTGGAGCAGAACCTTTAAAATCACCCATGTACTTCGAAAGTGAGTTTAATGCCGACGTTAGAGCTCATGCAAGTTGTCAAGATGATCAGTATCCATAAAGTTGTCGGAACAAGTAATTGTAGGTGTTACACATTTTCTTTGACAAGAAGCTCCATTAATTGTAAATGGGATCTGATATGCTACCCTCTTAATGGTGCTCTGTTGATTATACACAAGAAACGTCGATTGTCTTCATAGTCTTCTAACAGAGCTATAATAGTCTACCGTACCTCAGCTTCCACCATTCTGCGTTGAAGTTTTCTGGGGTGATAGTCCCATCAAACACAGCCCATCGCCACTTGTCCATCAGGTAACCAAAGGGTAGGAAGGCGATCTTATCGAGCGCCATGCTCATCAGGAAATTGAGATCAGCCTCTGCAGTGGATCAAAGAAAACGCAGCCGCTTGAATTGAACGAACTCAAGCAACTCCAAAATCAAAAGGAGAGTGCATTACAAGATAGGCCTATTTGTTTGTTTGATTTTTTTAAAATAAACTTACCCTTATTGTCCTCAACTTCGTCCAATAAACCCACCGCGTGTAAGTGCTTGGGTGTCGACACAGACAGGGCAAGTGTGTCACCGACTGCCTCATGGAATCCTGGATTGGCGCCCCCACGGTACAACACAGGGAGATGCTTGTACTGCAAGTAGTACTCAATGTGCCCCATCTCGTGGTGGATAGTGATGAAGTCATCCATGGTGATGTCAGTGCACTGCTTGATCCTGAAAAATGAGGGGGAAACGTGAGTGTGTATCCGAAGGCCAGCCAAAGGTCTCCATTCTTCAATGTAAGTTGAAGGGCGATTGCAAATCACATCTCAAACCGGTGAGCTTGTTAGCGACGAGATACGATTTTGAATTGAAATAAGATCTGAATTTCTACCCCAAAAAGTTGACGGGTAAAATTGGAGTAACCAGAAGAGGTGGATACGATGGCAAAGATGCTTGATCAGTCCTGACTGTTTCACATTTCACAACTTTTAAAAGTTTGTTGCTGCAGTATTGTTCTCACAAGTCACCAGAGAGTGTTTGTAATTTAAACTATCTTTACCTCAGTGGCTTTTCTCGCGCAACACTCTCTCAAGACGAAGATCTGCCATGGTATAAATTACGTGCATATTGTAGCAGGTGGAAGTCTAAAGAGAAATTGATGCTAGCTTGGTATAAGGAACTTCCTAGTTGGATCTTTGGAAAGGGCGAAGGAGTAGAGGTCTCCATTCCATAGCCGGGGAAGATGTTCCCAATCCAAATGCCTGGGATTCGCGCCAATGTCTGGCGTTCTTAACAGAGCGACTTGTGACAAACTTGCGGCGTGTTGTCGGGGACAGAGGTGCAGTTGTTTTTACCTGAAGTCAATTTGGTTGTAGAAGTCCCAGGCAGACGCGTGGCAGACCACCTCCCTGTCGGTGGGCCTCTCGATCATGGACTCGGCCCAGAATTCCGGTGGCATTTTTATCAGGCCGAGTGACTCGAAGAATTCGTCAGAAACTTCAAACATTCTCTTTGCATTGTATCCCTGAGGGCATGAGCAGATTTGAGATTTGCTGTTAAACATTGTTTCTGGCTTCGTTTCTTTCTCGCTTCCCATGTTCATCAGCATTAGTCAGCAACCACTATGATCAAAAGGGACATCTGCATTTCCATAATTTTTGAGGGGGGGGGGAATTATGGATTTGTTGATCGGTCACTTGTCCAAAAGAATAATCTCTGAACGGTTTACAACCACTGAAGCTATTTCCGTTCACATACCTCGCGTACTAACACCGGAGTTATGTCGACACTTGGCGCGTTTTCGAACGGCAGCATCAGGTCAAGAATATTCAGCCACGACTGCGACCACATGTTACCTGGAAATTGGAGGGCGACCAAAAAATATACAACTTGTTTATTCCCACTTATAATGGAATAGGCCCATCGGGAATGTAAACTGCTTTCCTTCAACATTATCTGTATATTCTAACGACAAGTATACACATTAAAAGTATTGGGCTTTTTTGACCAACCCGATTTTAGCCCAATGGTGTAAACATAATCTTGCCAACTACTGGTCACAAGGAGTCTAACCATTGGGTGAATCTTTTAAAAAAATGACCGTCTTTAATACTTCAATGATCGGCATCTGGATAATGCAGCCTTATCCAAAGTTTCATTGCCCAACGTTTTAATATTGTAGGGTTACATGCTTTATGCTTCTGTTTGAGCTTCTTAATTTATTCGATGTAACGTTTAAAAAAAAATCTAAAATCGAGAAGACATGTCCTTTCTGAAAGCTTCTAAAAATGCTTGAAAGCCTAAGCTTGAAAATTCAACGGTTTGACCAGAAATTAATAAAGAGCAAAACTAAAGACAGAGAAATTATTTGGTGACGCCAGGGGTTGGATATCTAGGATCAGGAGTTTTTTTCAGTCTGCTGAATTAAAAGTTGGTAAAAGTGCATCTTTCACCAGGAACACACATGCAGTTTATGATACTCCACATAACGCCGGAAGACCCTTCTCAGCGGCCCGATCCTTATCGGAATTTCGATGAAAGATTGAACTGTGCGTGATTAAAAATAAATGAATCCTGTGCTTGAAGGCCTTTCTGAAGTCGTGGAGTATCGCTTCAGGGAATAGCCGAAGTAATCAAACTGAGGTATATTTTTAGCTTTTTCCCTTAAAATCAACCAAGGTACAAAGATCAGTTACCAGTGACCCCCCCCCACCATAGAGGGCCCTGGAAAGAAGGCATTGCTCACTATAAGAGGCGGGAGAAAACCCTCCAGCGAAAACCAAGGAATCAGGTATGTGGTGTTGACTGAAAACCCTATCCACACGTCAGCCTGAGCGGGATTCTTACCCAGGCTGCAGAGGTACAGGACGAGTGAAGAGTGCTGCTTAGCCAGCCTGTCTCCCCAAATACCCTGCCATTAAAGCTGTTGATTTGTGCTCGACACTGGTCAGAACAAAGAGCTGAATCAGGGAAGTCGGAACTCTTACCAAGGATATGGGCGGGAATCGGTCCTTTGAGATTGATGTAGTCAGCTCCGTACAGGTTGTACAGCTTTCTACGGACGTACGCGTGAAGGTTATTGTACAGAGGGCTGAGCTGCTGGTAAAGATTCTCCACCTGATCAGTGAAATCGTCAACCTCATACCAAGATTTCCAGTAGTCTCCACAATTTGAAAAGCCTGCGGAGAGGAAAAACGTCCACACGGACAACTGATTAAAAGACTTCATGCCTGGGCTTTTTGGTTGAAGCAACCCCTCCAAAAAAGAAGACAACGTTATAAATGGCCTACATGCTTTTCAAATTTCTAACACTGCTTCCCCTAGGAGACATCGCACCGACGGCAATTAGCGTGAGAACCAGCGAGCGAACCAACACGCATGCGTAAATACTCCAGTTTGCTTTTATACATTACTCATAAAGCTCTATGCTTGTACTACAATTCCTTGTTCAAATGAAGTAACAAGGTCACTGTTTCTAGAGCCAAGGAAGAGTTGCGATAAAATTGGTGCTGATGGCTCCAGCGGACTAGGGCCTAAAGCGAAACACTGATGTTTCGGGCTATAGAGTATTTAATTCAGTTCTGCCCATATGTTTCGAATTTCGAATTCCACGGAACAGCAAAAAAACGGTGCAGTCACATAATGAAAACAAACTCTTGGAAAAGTACATAGACAGATACCAGAGCCTGCCTATTTGTCCTTCACTTATGACTGATCATTGGCATGCATGCAGGCAGAAACACACTCAGTGGCGTTTATGCGCACAGCATGGCTTTAGGCATTTCAAAGTATTGAGGCAGTTTGGTAATCAAAAAACGTATATGCCTAAAGTGAAAGCGCGTCCGAGGTCATTCGAACGCACGCGTATGAGGTCTGCTCTATCAGCACTGCCTTTCGGGGACTCGCTCTCGTGATTTGTTCCGGAATGACCTTGGTTTTTTTTAAAATACCGAAGTGGCTCAAATGAATCACACACCATTAGCTGCAGCCGCTTCATTCTTTAGTGCCACGTATCTCTGGTAATCTTCCTTTGCGGACGGGCCGACCGCTGCCCGCCAACCTTGCCACGCCCAGTTCAATTCTCCGTAGTCTCGTGACGTCGCCATGATGCGCGTCAGGCCTGGAAACAAAAATCAAGACCTTTTGGGAGAAATTAACTCATTGACAGATGATTATCACTGACTGGCGATTCCATATGATTTCTACTAATCTGATGTTTTGATAGAAACAAAAACTGAACTACCACCTCGTTATCGCCTTTAACGGAAGAGGCCCCAGAAATAGAATCACATCAAGTTACACCATCATTCCACGAATTCAACGATTCGTCAGAGCATGGTGCAAAGTGATGCCAGGTACTTCTTAATGCCTATTTTTTTGGAGTCGTGATAAACCATTCATACTTACCAGGTTCCAGCGAAAGATACTCTCCGTCTGCTTTTGGCACTTTACCCTTCGAGTACCTCGACTCCATACTAGCAAGGACATTGTTCAGCTATATAATAAAATTGAGTAAGACACAACATCGTTAAAATGGAAGAGTTTGTGAGAAAAGATGTGCTCTTGATGAATCACGGCAGGTATATGCTCTTTACTTTTCTCGCGACCTTTTTACTGAGGCTTACAACCGTATGTTTATAGCTGCCATCTTCGATGAACTTGACAATATTATGCGCATGCGCTTGTAAGCAGCACGTACAGTGCCCTCATTTAATAATCCAGCTTTGAACGTCCAATGATAACATAATGCAGTTCTTTTAATTTTTAGCTTTAATTGCATGACTTTGAAGAAATGAGGAGATTTTTTTTTATTTGGGTGAACTACGTGACCCGTATAACGTTTCATGTATGATTTTATACCTCTTCTAACTTGGCTTGGTCCTCGAGCGCTGCATCCCCGATGGTCTTCAATTTGGTCAATTGTCTCTTGGTGTCGTAACTGAAATTGGTCATGTCATAGCGTGATGCGTTGGTCCGAGCTTCCTTGGCAAAGGCAGCAACTTTCACGTTGGAATCAATCTGGATTTGGGATTAAGAAGTTGCAACCTGAGCGGTCAGAATGGTGTTCTCCTCTGGTCGAATAACAGAAGTCTTATGCACTGCACAAAGTGTGGTGTTACATTTTTAACACTATTTTTTTACTTGATGGAATTTGGTGTAACAGAGGGGTCCAATAATTCCTTATAGGTACTAAAATTGAAAAGAAGAACCGGTGTTACATGATATTTGTGTTAAACTTGACTTACAGCGCATGCGTCATTGGAAAGAAGCCTCTGATTGGTCGATATAAAAATTATGGGATGGTAGCTAGCTGCTCTAGATATTTCTCGTTGAATATCACGTGCTTGCCACCTTGTCTTGATTGCTATTCAACCTTACTATCTGACAAATGTGTGACGACATTGTGTATTAATTAAGATGCCCATAGCGAGAGTGGGAGAAAAATCTCAGGAATTTCAAGGGCGGCTCTGCAAAAGTCGTGGAACTGGGTGAGTTCTTTAAAATGATTGATGTTCTTCAGACTTGAACTGTCCTTCAAAGCGTTCACTCCGTCAAGAGACATGCCTGATCTGTCCTGCACAAGATACAAGGTGCGTGCATGTGTATAATTGCCAATAAACGATGTGCACACAGCCTAGGGAAAAGAGGGCCTGTGAAAAGACTCCATCAATCAATTCCACCAATCAATAAATCAATGTAAATGACATTTTAGTATATAGAGTACATGTAATGCCATACTACAGTAAACTTAATATTGACTATGTACCATAGTGTTCCCTCATGAGGGCCAACTACACGCATCTATGTAACCCTAGTTTATGTTTGTAACAGCATCTTTCAATCACTTTCGGCCATAAAACACCGTACATATAAATTTCCACGCCCACCCCTTTTTTGTAACAGGGTACAGTTATTTGCTATTCCCAGCTCCACAGGTTTCATCCCAAGAATTGGAAGTGACGTCACCCTGGCAATAAACTCCAGTGAATCAGACACTACACGCAACCCTCCTCAGCCAAAGAAACCAACAGGTGAGTCTACCTAGTGTGTCTCTCCAAGGTATGTTAAGGAGGTCTAATGGAGAGTAGTTGTGTGACCAGTTTGAATTGAGGATATTGCCCAAGTTATTTCATAATCAAGAGTCGTTTAATCCCTTTTCTTTATATTTAAACAGGACAATTCTCATGCTGATTCTTGGCGTAATGTACTGTAGGTGTAACGTCAAGTGTTATTTTAATATTTGACACTGCGCCTAATTTTAGAGTTACCAAAAGTATCGAACCACTTAAATATACCCTACAAGTATAGAAATAGTTCTAACCAGCCTACTGAAGAAACTACGATTATACTTTTCCTGTGGAAAATAAAAATCGTTATGCTGTTGTCAGCACACAAAGTAAACTTATTTAAAACCTTTCCTGGTCAATTTCAAATTGATCAACAGGTGGTGGTATCCGGTATATCTGTACAAACATGACCTGTTATGTAGGTCCAAAGGAGAGTGGATGTTTGATGTTTTTCATTGAGAATATTGCCTGAGTTTTTTTTACTGAATAGTTCTTTTATCCTGTTTCAGTACACGCACAGCAGAATTCAAAACGAAATATTAAGACTTTGTGACTTTAATTGTATCTTTCTAGATAGGCCTAATTTGCCTATAAATCAGCATTACCTTGACAAAAACCAATCAGTGACCTTACCTTAAATACAGCATATTCCATGTTCCAATTTAAACAGGAGTTTCCTCTTACTGATTTATGGCGTATTTTATGAGCTTAAGGTCTAAGGGTCAAGCACTATATCTAAGTGGCTTTTGATACTTTGCCAACTTTTACAAAGTTGCAAATATAGGAATAATAATAAACAATGTACTATAGTAATTACAGCCATGCCTTTGCAGTTAAAGATGAAAATCTCGCTCAAGTTGTTTTCAGCACACAAAGTGATCTTGTTGATGACCTACCGTTGTCTTTAATTCGAAGTTCATCAACATGTGACTCTACCCAGAATTTATCTCGCACACATGTTCAAGTTCTTTTGCACTGAGCTGCAATATCATGATTGCTAAATGCTACTACTTGTATCACTCATCATTTGGAGAACATGTAAAACATAAAGGTTGCTGGTTAAGTAGTGTAGGGCAGTATGGACACGAGCGATTTACTGTTACTGTGTTCTATTTTTTACTTTCTTTGCATTCCGTGCAGCGGTAAATCTTATCATTACAGTGATATTTTTCTGAATTATGATTTTGTACAAATTTTGTTTTCATAGTTCAATTTCAGGTTTGTGGATATTACTTAATTAGCAATAAAAATAAAATCAACCAAGTTAAATATCCTGCTGTCAATACTAATTCAAACTCGTTGTATAATTTCGTCAATTTTCAGGTATTGTGTAATACCAAAGCCCCCCCAAAAATGGTGATGCCATTCAGGGTATTAAAATTAACACCAGTGCAAGTGTGGCTTCTCGTAATGCCAACTAACAGTGTTCCACGTTCCTTAATACCCAAAATAAACACCACTTGGGAATTATTTTACTCCCATATTTGTTGTTAAAGTCGAACACCAAAAGCCTTGCCCCAAATAATCACCAATTTGGAATAAGTGCATTCCCCCTTCAGTGTTAAAAGTGAACACCACAACTGCTGTAAAATGCTTTTAATCCTTTGCCTGGTGTTGTTAACATGAAAATCCATGTCCAAAATAAACACCATTAAATAAGAAAATTCTACACAATTGGCGTTATTTTTAACACCAGAGTTTTTGCAGTATGGTGTATGGCATCCGTCGTTGTACTACCCGTCGAACGTATTCAGTTTAAGTTAGTCTGGTGACTTAGTCTGGCGACTAACTTGGGCATTTTCACAGAGTGTCAAATTAATGTTAAACTTGTATTGACATTGCATAGGAAAAAGGCGCCAATGAAAAGACGGAAAATACTTCAGTGTCGTGCAACTAAAAGAAGACTATTCGTATTGAATTTTTTGGATTGTGATCTTGCAGAAAAAAATATAGTTCGAAACAGAAAGTCGTCACCTTATATAGAACCAAAATAAAATTTAAGAACTCGCGGAAATGTAAACACAACCACCCCTACCTTTGCCATCCATTCGTACCCATCCAAGATATATTGGACGCATTTTTAAAGCACGACATAATGTATGCACTTTCCAAATATTTCTCTTTTTGCATCGCAGACGCATTCCGTGTTTTTCTTTATCTCAACCCTTCAGGAGCCAGGTTTTTCGGTACATCTCACAACCGGGGAGAGGATTCCGCCCTCAATAACTCGACAATCCCATGCCCGTTTATGAAAAAAACTAGGCATGCATGTAAAGATCCTCTTTATTGTATAAAAATGTTTCATATCCATGCGACAAACAGTTTTGTTGTTGCGGTTATTTGAAATTCAGGGACGGACACGCGGCGTGCGAACCGTCCATGCGCATGGAGTACTCCAGTAAAAAATCACAGCTGGCCTGTCTCGAAAATGGGCGCTGCACGACAATGGTGCTGCATGTATGCGTGTGCGATTTTCACAGATTTGGTGTCAAAATGACCGCAAGACAAACGAAACTTCTGAAGGCTCGACGCGTGAAAAGAATGCATTGCCCCAGCTCAAGTTCGGGGTCAAGTATCTCTCGTCATAATTATTTAAGAGATATTACTAAGATACCAAGAGTACACCTTTTATATCATTGTTATACTGACAACTGATAAATTGAAGATTTCTACAACACGTATTACAGATTTTGCAAAGAAGTTTTCGGAAAAAAGTTTATGCGAGGTTCTGATCCCCGATGACTGATAACAGTGTTTGTAAGTTCATAAAGCAAGTGACCTTTTCCACAAACGAGTTCTAAATTGAATCTTTTATGATCTAGACATAAATCGTACCACGTTGTGTCAGGCAATGTCATAAGATAAGACTGTGTGTATTTACAAGCTCGTTACACTCATCGTGGGATCAAAAGCCAAGGGTCGAACACACCTGATAATGAAGAGAATACTACAACAGCACAAAACTTCCTGCTGATGACGTATTTTTGCTTTTCTCACAAAAGATACGAACGAAAAAGAACGCATCACGCGTCAAACACTAAGCCAAATATTATTGCTCATATACCAATACCCACCATGGCCTGTTGGTTAGCATCAGATATGTTCGTAAAAAAAGTCCAAGATTTCAGTGTGACATGGTAGTATTCTTCCATCGCTCGCTCGTCATACTTTGCCAACCAGGCGATAGCCACTGTTTCGTTAGCAATCAACTCTCCACTTTGGCTCATCGGGTGTGTGCCTCCAGTAAGAAAGGCGCGAACAGCGAATACGACCGACGCCAAGAATAAGCCTCCCGCCATGTTGGTATATTATCACTCGTAACTTTCAAAGTTGCGGAGTTTGATTTATACAACGGGTCTGCCTGTCACTGTTGCCGGCCCCTGTACCATTGCACACGAAAACACAGATGGCAAAATGGAATACCCATGGCTGAGGTTGCTGTGCGCTCGACCCCCAAGTAATGAAATGTATATTACTTTTCTGTTGTGACCTTCTTGTCCTTGGAAATTATATAAATTGGCAATGACGGAATTGGTATTCTGGTAGAGCACGTTCAATGGGGTCTCCCTGTGTGGTTTCCTGTGCCAAGGGGAGTAATGGCGTAGGGTTGAAGGGCTCTTTTAAAGGGAGGGCTTTTCTGAAAATCCGTTTGACTTCTCAGAACGCGATGATAGACCCATTTTTTTCAGTGAAGATAGTTTTTTTAAGTGAATTCCAAACACGTTTCTGTTTTACATTAATAGAAAAGTATCTACCAAGGAAATCACATAATTATACATTGTAAATTAACTCAAGACTGCGCCTTATACTGCGATCGCAAGTAAAGACCATCCCTTAACACTTTGTCGACAGACTCTCCGGAAATGGAAAAAACAGCACTAGACACAATCACAAAGACCCCCCCCCCGAAAAAAACCCCGCTGTACTATGTGAAGTCTCGATCAAAGTTACATTCAGCACTGTGGATCAGAAAAGTTCAGAGGTCATGACGTTAAATGTAGGTGTACATAAAAATCATTGTGTTTCTGTTACTCACAAACATAGAAGGTAAATGTCGACTTGGCGCAATCAGCTGTATTTCTCACTGCATATATCAGATTCTACGAAGACTCCATGATTGAGGGTTTAAAAAGACTTACATACCACATTGCTATCTTTTAATTCTTGTACTGACTTGTATTGTGTACATATAGGCCTATTACGCATTATGTTGTTGTCCACATGTTGACCGGGTTGAAATCGTGATTCGCCACGATCCTTATACCGCGGTGTTGCGTGTGCGTATATAGGCCCTACACTACGTATCCTTGTATGATACCAGGCAAATGCAGCATCGGCTTCAAAAACATGTACGAACAATGTGAATGAACAGATATGTTTATGCATCTCTCTGGATATTATAAATGCATTTTATTCCCAATTAAAGAAATTCGTTCGTCCAAAATGATTTCACGTGCCACTGGAAGAATTATTCAGTCAATTTCAAAGTTTTGCCACCACATCTAAGCGTTATATGGAGAATTTATCTTTACCATTCAGCTGAGCTGTTGCTGAATGGTTTTATTCAAAGATAATTCATCTTTTACAAATCACCCTACTACTTTTAAGTTACTAAGTCTTTCATATGTGCTTGAGTAATACCCCCCTCCCCGTCCAAGCACAACTAGGCTCAATCGTTGGCATGGGGAGCTATAACTGAGACGTAGAAGATGCTCTGAGTCCCAGGGAAAGAAATTTGCTGCCAAGGGCAGTGTAATGCTGGGGGCCCAGGGGCATACAATAAACTCGCGTCGCCCATAGTTAAAGACGTGAACGGCAATGAAGAGTCTAAACCGTCCAAGATGGAAATGTCGCAGTATTAGGAATTTTAATTTCTGTTATATTACGAGTTATCATTGTCTATGGCTTTGTGTACAACAAGCAAAGTGTAAAAAGCAGTGAGAAAATACCCTTGTAGAAATTTATGTCTTGTTACGAGGATGTCAGGATGACGTTTGATGGTATTGAATTTATAATTAACATGTGTGGCAAAGGAGGGCACGTTTATTTTCTGAATTGCACCTTTCGGTGTAGACTATAATTTGAATTTTTCCTCACCGAAAATGAGCGCACATAGTTGGATTTTTACTGAACAATCGAAATTTTGTGACAAGTAACGAAATTAAAGTGTCTCTCTTCCGCTGAACAAATCCACTGAACAAATACAAATACAATTCTGTGAATTAAAATACAAACGTTTTACATTAGTCGGGAAACACATACAGTCATTTGCAAAAGTTTAAGAGTGACCTTGAATTTTATTGGTATTTCTGTCACTGGGCCTGCATTACATTGTCTCACTGAATGATTACTTAACATGTTTTTACAGTGGTGCATAAACATCAGTGCAGTGCTATATACCCATTTGAATGAAATTTTTTTGCAAAGGCAGGTCTTGTATGACATTTTGTCTGTAGGTAGCATGGGTAAAAAAAGCCAGTCTAAGCAATCAGAAATAAAGGAGGGAACACTGAATATTAGACTGTTAACATGTCAAATCATGGAAATGTAGTCAAAAATGTTCAACCAAAGTACCAAGGTTACACATTGAAAATAAACATAAGTTGCCATGACTGATTGATTTAAGTTTGGTTTTCCTTCAGGTTAATGCATTTTCTATGTGTGGTCCTAAACTTTTGCAAATAACTGTAACATCATGCATGTACACAATGATGAAAGCAATGATCGTGTTGAAATCAAAAGGCAATGTACACAAATCTAAACCTAAAGCATGACCCGAGAATGATGTTGCCCACCCAAGCCACACCTTAATCTGCACTTTTTTGTGGTTTCTGTTTTGCTTTTTGAAGGAGATGGTAAACCAAAGGTGAACTCACCATGGCTTGCTCGTGGGCATCGGTAATATCTGTCTGGTAGGTCCAGGCAGCGACAGTGTTCTCGTAGTAAGCTGCCATGGCCATGACGTTGTATTCCTCGAGCCATTGTCTCGCTTCAGTCTCGTTAGAGTTGGTTCCCTCACCTCTCGCGGAGGAAACCACATGGCAAAATATGCCGAAAAGAAACAGGAGAGCGCAGCTACGTCCAGCCATGATTCTACTGACCAACTGAGAACAATAACACCTGACAATATCCCGAAGGCTCAGCTGTAATCTCTCTTTTAAAGCTGCTTTGAACAAAAGTGTCAATATTTGACAATGGCGTATCCGACAGTAAACTTTATATTACTTGAAGGCATAACAAACTTGGCAAGATTCTGGACATTGAACACATTATCAGCGCACTCTAGAGAAGTGGTCGGGATCCCCTTAACTTGTGTGCCTGTGGTTTCTGGCTGATAAACAAATTAAGGCCAGCCATTGGCTATTAATTTGTGCTCAGTCATTGGCAGCCAGTACAAGAAGTGGTTCGAATGATGTCATCTTTGAAAAGTTTCCACCCAGTTGATTGGTTGGATTCAGTCACATGGGTCAACGAGCACAGAAGCCACGATGTGATCGTCATGATGGATGGCACCATGTAACTTGCGCTCACATGTTGTCTGCAGTACACCGTACATAAACATTTCGGTCTCCTGTCGCGCATACTCATTACCTCACGATAAAACTTCCGCGTGTTTTGGTAGGCATCCTATTTTGAGAACAGAAGTACTCTTGGAAGCAGCGAGATTTTGATAATATTTCCTACCATTACTCAGTTTAATTATCTCGGCTATCAAAACCCTCCGTGTTTAGATGCAGCTATTCAGTTGTAAACGTGCACTTCAGACCCTAACGGCGAGTCGAAACATGAATTAATGGCTGTAAATTCAAGGGAAACAGTCCACGCATGAGGCCCGAGCTGCCTTTTCACTGTGGACATTGCAACACCTTCCGCCAAACAACTGCCTGTGCGTGTGCACTGGAGGATGAAGTGGATTGTGGTATAGGCTGCCGTACATATATGAACATGTAGGCCCTCATACCATGTATTTCGCAGTGCACGCTTTTGGGATCGACTACGTGTATATAACACGAATGTTACGGCCCACCAAAATTAAGTTGAGTTTACCGGCATGACGTAAACCTAGGGGAACCACTCAGCTAGAAGTCTGGAAAGACACCAAGCTGACTTAATTTGCTCCACAATTAGACATGAACTCCGGAACAGCTGATAAACTGTGGTACGTTTTCCCTTTTCTGAACCCGGAGATATAAACATACCATTTCAGGCAAGTGCTGAAATTAAGAACATCCCTTGAGCGAGGTTAATTTGGTGGTAAAGTGCCAGGATTTCCTTCAAGCAACAGCACACACTACGTTAAACTTCAAATGCACAACAATTATTTGTCTATACGATTTGAATCAGTTCGTTCCTTTTTGATTTCAATCAATTTCCTTTTTAAGCCCGTTAGCGATGACAATTCAAAACCGTTGACGTTCCTCCTACATCAGTTATTGATAATGGCTGTAAAATACTATTAGCCCCGAATCGTGGCGGTTGTTTGCACTGTGCTACCGCTCAGGGACCACTCGGCAATAATCTGAAAGGGCAAGGTTTTGGACTTCAAATCTGCCTCGCTTCATTTGCCACGTACAAGTAAACCTCGTTGTTGGCCTTCGCACGCGTACGGAATGTTCAAGTTGCGCAGTTCGTGTTTGAAAATGAAATGTTTGTATCGGCATGTGAATCCAACTCCAACGCCGCTCGCTTATATTGGCAGAGCAGTGTAAAAAAAAACACACACACACACACTGTCAGTCATGATGAAGTAACTGATCCACGGCTGCTTTGCTTCACTTGCACGTAAAAAGGGTAAACGTTAGCCTTCGCAGGCAATGAGTTGTGCTACATATACCGGTACGGTATATCGGCATGTATGATTGGAAGTCAAAAGGCCTTGTATCCCACAAAATGAAGAAAAAATACATATATATATATTTGTGTGGAGCTGTGTGTTTTTAATTAAATTAAAATTCAGCCGTGGTACATATCAGTGATGTGCCCGGAACGCGATACATTACTTTATCTACCCTGCGTATGAAAATGTAGATCCACCTCGTTTTATTGGTACAACCTTGAGTACGAGGCTGGTACTGCATTATTTCATGTAAATGAGATTAGGGGAACAGAGACGAACGATTCCTGGATTTTCTGCAACAGCAGCCGTCTTTGCTTACACGCGGAGGGGGTATTTATCCCCCAACTTTTTGAGGGTGGGGTATGGCCTGTTGAATTTCCCCCCCCCCGTTTGTGGTGAGCAAAAAAACGTGTTCAATATCACTAAAAATAGGGAAAGCAATTTCAAAAAGCCATAAACATGCCATTTTGATGTAATATTCTGCATGAATGTAATGCATCTTACAGATGCATTTAACTATCATGAATACATAGACCTCTGTAAAGTCCTTATATTGACCTCGCTACTAATACGACACTGTGTGACTCCAGGGCCTCACCCTGAAGCTCTTACAAGCCACCCCTGATCGTCAACGTGTCCGGTCCATCTGCATCATTCTCTGACAGTAACCGCTTTTCCGTCTTAAAGACCAACAACGGACAATCAAGCCGTCCATACGGCGCCGCAGAAATAGTGTCCCCAAGGCTCAGAGCTGTCTTCCATCCTACATTAGTGACCTGCCGCACACCACATCGGTGCAGTAGCCTATGGCTGTGCAGATGCTCTGGCACTTCTCTGCTCAGATAGCAACTGGCAAAGGTAAGAGAAGGCCCTCACCAAAGACACGGAGCTTGTGGCCACACACCTGAAGACCTGGTCCCTCAGAACTGAGCATGAGGAAAACTACATCAACCGCCTTCCATCTGAATACCAGGGAAGCTAAAAGTCAGCTTAAGGTGAAGCTTGTTAGTGCAACTTGCTGTATAACCCCTCCCCAGCTGATCCTCTCACTACAGGCGATGGCATTGGCCAGGAAAAACCTTCTGCACGGCCTGGCAGGCACAACGTGGGTGCAAAGGCAACTACACTCCCCACAGGATCCCTGTAGTTCTTGTGTTCAGTGCGGCCGCAGAGTACGCTGCCCCAGTCTAGTGTTGGAGCTCTCACACAAACAAGCTAGACACCACCCTCAATGACACCCTGAGATTAATCATCGGCTGCCTGCGCCTAACCCCAACCGAGTTTCTGCCAGTGCTCTCTGGCATTGCTCCTGCCACCCTCTGCAGAGAACATGCAGTAGCCACGTTGGTAAACAAGGCCCTTCAAGACACCAAGCATCTGCCCCACAACTGCGTGGATGGGGTATAACATTCTTGGCCGTCATCGCCTGAGCTCCCGCCACCCATTCTCTCGTCAAGCAGCATCCTTGCACAACAGAGCATTCAACCTCCTCAGCTCCTGGCGAGACATCTGGCCGCAGCCCCCCCCCCCGCTCAACCAATTGTGCGTTACCCCCCAACACCAAACTCCCACCAGGAGCTGAGTTGCCACATAAGGAATGGGCTACTCTCAACTGTCTAAGAACCGGGGTAGGTCGGTTCGGTGCTTACATGCACCTTTGGGGTCTACGTACGGTTCAACCGGCAAGAACAGTCGGCCGAACACATCCTGAATGATCGACTGCACCATCCTCAAGCCATCTGATGACATTGACCTAACAACACCTGGCCCATCAAGAGTCAGGTGGCTGCAACACCTGAACAACAGGATTGACATCTAGTCGTCTTATACGAGAGAACAAGAGAACATGGCCCCTCCCCCTCCCCTGCTTTACAAATTTCCATGGCCGGGCAAGTCATGCCCCCACCTTTCCCCATCCCCCATCTGGCCGATTTCCGGCACAAAATTACGTCACTGTTCATTGGTGTTTATAAATGGGTCAATGTCGCAGTACTTTCACCGTAAGAATGTCGGTAGGTGACAGCAGGTTGGTTAATTTATGTTCCAAAAACGAGATCAGAAATGCGATTTTTGTGCGAGACAGCGTCAGCATGAGAAAAAATTACCAAACTTTCTGTACGTGTGTGAATAATGTGGTGGTTTTGAATTCTGCATCGCTGCAGACACACGACAGGGGAGACCCCGTAGCAGTGGCGTGACTACGGGGGGGGGGGCACGGGGGGACGTTCCCCGCCCCTGGTGATGCCTGTGTCCCCCCTGGGTGCTCCCCTCCCCCGATTTGAAATCTGTGAATAATCTCCGTTGAGTTTATATAGCTATGCAGCTGTTTTTCGTCTGGTACCTCCATGAATAAACGTATGTAAACCCGGGTGCTCCCCGGGTATTAGTGTAATTAGCCCGTGGTACGCCACCCCCACGTAGTTTCACAAGGTTACCCACAACAAAATTCCTAGTTTTGCTGGAAAATTTCTTTCTCAGTGTCAAAACCAATAGGCAGTATTTACAAATTCCTAACAATTATTCTATTTAGTTGAATTTGTTCAACTAAACCCTTTGGTGGTGAAGATAATTTCAGTGGTATGAAATGCATTGTAAAGCAGCAAAATGTCACTTTATTCCTTGCATTCATAAAACCTATTACCGGGTTGTAACAAAACAAATGTTGAGTATTGTGAAGCGATCCATGGGTTTTTAAGCCCTCTGCGGCAAATAGCACCCTCGGCTTCACCTTGGATGGACCCCTGCACAGCAGGCAAAAATAACATGTACATTAAGCATGCTCCATGATTCAAGCAAGCGCATAAAGCAAGTGACTCATGCTCAGACGTGTCCGCCTGTCCGTAGTTGAAATCTCTGTTACCTTGGGTCTGCAGTACGATACGGTGCATACTGGCGGACTGATAAGCGCTGTGAGCAAAACCCAAGCCGGTTAGGTTTTCCTACACTGGCATCCGGACCAGTTTTTTGCGAGAGTGTGCCGGTAATCCCTAAAAGGTATAAAGCTGTGTTTGCAGAGATAACCAGCATATCAAAGAGGATCTACGGATCTAAATATATTGAGGGCTCAACATGTAATCCCACAGCATTCCTCAGACTTCTGAAGTCCATTTTATTGTCTAGCCAGGCTCAGTACAGTGCGATGGTTTCCACCCGTGCCTGGTGTCAAATATTGTTCTGTTAAGGATTTGCTTTGGCTGAAAACTGTGTAATCTTTTCTGGGCGAGTGAACCCTTTCATACTTATTATTTTAAATAATCGTTGCTCTATAGGTGGAGAAGCCTTCCTATAGAGTTTGCGCGGTTGCCATCTTGCAAGCAAGTGATTTTATTCCACTGGATATATGCACAAAGGAGATTTCCATGTGGAACAACAGAACTGCCCTGCAAGATTGCTTGCTGTAATGCCTCGATACTTGAGGGAGGCGGCCAGAAGACCTTCTCGATTCGTTATTTGTACGCCATGGTTGTAGTTTGCTCAATAGTTGGCTGGTGAACTATTGCTGGCCTATCTGCACAGAAAGCCGAAGAAAAATCGCTCGCGGTTATCATGCAAACACCAAATAATATGGTATTTCCATGCCAAAACCTATATGTACTACGTTAAAATACGACCTTTTTCGAAGTTCCTCGATCGGAACCAAAAGTACATTTTGAAGCAAAACCTGAAAACAACCAATATTATAATTTTTGCAAGCCATGCAAATAAAATAGGCAGCATGAGCGACAGGTCTATACCTGGAAAGGAGCAAAAGTCCAACCTGTTCCCAAATTTTCGAAATGTTCCAAACTTGTTTTCTCATTATGTCAGGCGATTGTCGATGATGTTTGTGATCATAGCTGACCTTTGGCACGTGCTGCGTGAGGACTGTCGTAGGCCTGGATTAAATCGTTGGACATTTTTGGTGAAATGGAAGTCTGTTGAAAAGGTGCCCCGTTTCCATTTTTTTCATGTACAAGACGTTTAATTGACACTGATTTCGTCATCAAAATTCTATTGTAAACCAGGGTGGCTAACAACATACGGCTTATGAAATGTCGGGTGCAGAAAGCTTCGGCTCAATGACAGACTAACAGACACTTGAATGTCA